GAAACTTCCAAAGAAGCATGGGATGAATTGGAAAGGATACATAAATCGAAAGGTCCAATTAAAAAGGCAGTGCTATACAAACAACTTTATCAGATGAAAAAGGGAACTGAACAATAAATGTCGAGACATGTAAGTGAATTTATGGAAAAGGCTGAAAAATTAGAAGAAGCGGGTATCCCAATTCCAAGTGAGTTACTATCTATAATGTTACTAAATTCATTGCCCGATGAATACGAGACATTTCGAATTGCCATCGAGTCCAGAGACGACATACCGAAACCTGAATTATTAAAAATAAAATTAATTGAAGAAGAAGTAAGACGACAAGAGAAGCAAGAATCTTTAGTCGAACAAAGTGCTCTGTACATAGGATCGAAACAAAAGAAAAGTTCCTTCCGACAAAACTACCCAAAACGAAATAATCGTTCTTCTTCACAATTCACAGGAATATTGTTCATAGAAATCTGAAGATATTAGATGTTTTAAGTGCAAAAAATTCGGCCATAAAGCTAACGCTTGTCCTCAAAAAGAAGTAAACAAAATGGAACTAAGTCATTTCTCTACATGTAACAACAAAATTGAAACGGATGTTGAAATCCTAGGTGCGAAAATAAAAGGACTCATCGACACCGGGTCGGACGTAACGATGGTACCAAGGCATTTTTATGAAAGAGTAAGGACTCCGAAATTAAACTCAGATAATGCATCTTTAATTGGATTAGATGGGAATAGTATTTCTCCGTTAGGTTTCTTCGAAAGTGAAGTAAAGATTGACGAATACTCTCTTCCTGCAAATATTTACGTGGTAGAAGGTGATCTATGTAATTCTATAATAATAGGAATAGATGTTCTGAATAAACTGAACTTCTCTATAACAAACTACGGATTCAAAGTCATGGGGAAACGAAGTCAAAATACTATTCGTGTTAATTATACTCGAATTTTTGTTCCCGACGCCACTGGAAAAGGGCAGACATCCCTTTTGCATTCCACTGAGCGGGGAGAGGGAAACGGTTTTCAAAACACTAAGGGCGCGTTTGGAAATTGTAACCGGTGTTACCGGTAACACCGGTTACAATTTCCAAGGCGTTTAGAAAATGTGACCTAAATAACCAACCGCGTTTAAAAATCACTGTTATGACGCCGCCGGTTGTCCTGCGGTACTTACCAAAGTTACCCAGGTGTCGAAGCGGTTTTAGCGGTTATATTAAATTACAAAATGGCGGACACAGTGTATCGTTTTGGAGATTGCGGACGAGAATTTAAAAGTATGGATGAAATAAAACAGCATTTTGCTTCGGAACATGTTCAAAAGCCAATTTAGTCCCAAAATTCAGCTTTAACGGATGGGGCAGACGAACAGCATGGTCGTTGGTCAGCAAATGCTGTGAAGTTACTGATATCACTATATAAAGAACATGAAAATAAATTTTCCGATATTTGTTGGCCAAGCAAGAAAGTATGTAAATATTTATTTATTCTTTTTCGAGTACAGTAGAACCTCGATTATCCGCCCCCGATCAACCGACCCCTCGGTTAACCGACCGTCCTAGTAGGCAAATTTCAAATGTCCGCTAGTGATGTGGCGCTACAATATTTGGCTATGTCTTGGCTACTTTAATATTATTTTTACGTGTTTTAGCTGGCAACACTCATTCGACCATGAAAGGGAGCCAGTATTTAAACGAAGCTTAATTTTCTAATTTTTAACGATACAATAGCGACGATTATTATTTTAAAAAATTTTTGTTAGGCTTAACATCGATGAAAATTCAACGCAAAATAGGTTAATAGCGATATACTAATATACTAATTACATGGGATATAATAATATACTACACTAATAATGGATTTTTTCATACTTTTCGGTTATCC